TCTGGTAATGGCCTTTGAGTGTGGACTGTATTATTATGCATACTGGATGGACTGGTTACCTTATGCTTCCCTCCAAACTTTCTATCCATGAGTCTGGGAGAGAACGTATAGGCCTAGGCGATGCTGTTGGTTCATTGATTGTGCAGGGCAGTTTACAGAGTTAGCCTACTATAGTTCATATGTATTGTACTCCTGAGTGGCGCAGTGGTCTAAGGCACTGCATCGCAGTGCTAACTGTGCCACTAGAGATCCTGGTTCGAATCCAGGCTCTGTCGCAGCCGGCCGCGACCGGGAGACTCATGGGCGGCGCACAATTGGTCCAGGGTAGGGGAGGGAATGGCCGGCAGGGTAGGGGAGGGAATGTAGCTCAGTTGATAGAGCATGGTGTTTGCAACACCAGGGTTGTGGGTTTGATTCCCACGGGGGGCCAGTATAAAAAAATATGTATTCACTAACTGTAAGTCGCTCTGGATAAGAGCGTCTACTAAAATGTAATAAATGTATTTGATTTTGAATAGCCTAGTAATAGGGCAATTTTTATAATTTCATAATTAATAGGCTGAAACATTACCTTTAGCTACAGAATATCTCACCACCGTGCGTTTCCATCTCCTCCCATCTCTCCTTCATTCCTTTCTCGAGCGCGCATAGAGAGGGTCTGTCAACAGTTTAATGAAGTATGTTTTGTTGTGAAAACATGTTACTATCGATGTTCCCGAATAGATTTAACTTGGTTTCCCAAATTAAGCCCTGGGTAGTTGCAGGAACATGGTTGGAGAGCCCATGGCATACAGAGTTTGGGTGGGATATCACCTGAACCATCCCTCTGATCTGATCACAGCCAATCAGCATGCTTATCACAAAAACCATTCCACTACCACTGCATTGGTTGGCATGACTGACCAGTGGCTCAATGCAATGGATAATGGCAGGTTTTTAAAAATGTTTTTCTTTGTCGTTTTTTGTATTGTTTTTTAGGGGGTAGATAATGGCAGGTTTGTGGGTGTACTATTTTTAGATTCCAGTGCTGCATTTCATTTTAAATTATTGCATTATGAGTTTAAGGAGGCAGCATTGAATTGGGTACAGTCATATCTAACTGACAGGAAACAGTCCACCTATGTCAATGGCTCGTTTTCTTCCCCTCATGCTTTAAACTGTGGAATACCGCAGGGCAGCTGCCTTGGGCCACTTCTTTATTTAATATATACCAACGACCTTCCTTATGCCTTATCTGAAACTCAAGCTACTATATTTGCAGATGATACTACAGTTTATACAGCAAGACAATCGGTTCAACAGGTACAGCAAGCTCTACAAGTTGATCTGGGAAATATCAGGGAGTGGGTTTGCCGGAACACACTTGTTTTGAATGCCAAGAAAACCAAGGTTATGTTGGTTTGTTCCACCAGGAAAATGTCAACACAACATGGGATGCAATTAAGTATGGGGGAAGTACAAATTGAGGAAGTAGCAGAAACCAAACTCCTAGGGGTGCAGCTAAACAACTGCTTATCATGGTTGTCTCAAATAACTCATCTATTAAAAAAATTAAAAATGCATGTATGATCAGAAGGATAGCTAAATATTTACCGGGAAAGATACTTAAGCAAACAACCCAAGCGTTAATTGGGAGTCAGGTGAACTACTGTTCTGTGGTCTGGGGAAATGCATCATCAAGTGAAATTAGGAGGCTGCAGATTGCACAGAACAAAGCAGCAAGGATTGTTTTAAGGTGGAGATATGATTCTTGTGTTGTAGTAATGCACAATGCTCTTGGGTGGTCATTAATCAACAAGATCATTGAAAAAAACATTTTAAAACCATTTCCCCCCCCCCCATTTAAAACGGCCAATACTAGGAATAGATTGTCCACCATCTACAGTATGGGTTTTCCCAGCAGAAAAGAGAAGTGGGCAAAATAACATTTAGATTCAGAGCAATAAAGAAATGGAATCATTTATCTGAGCAAACCAAAAACCTTTCAATACATACATTCAAACAATACTTTAGAACCATTTAAATATAATAAATTGGAAGGTTGTGCAGGACTATGGTAGATGATGGAACCAATCTATCTTTTCAGACTGTTAGAGTATTTATCTGGTCAATATGGCAGGGTATTATGTCTGTTGTTTGTAACAGTGGGTTATATGTGAAAATGTGATTGTATTATACATTGTATTTTAATGTTTGAGGACTCTTGGAAGATTAGTCCGAATGAGGACTAAAAGAGATCCTAATCAAATCAAATCAAATCTCCACTGTGTCTGTGGATTAAATTGTTGGCCATTTCTATGTCTGTGTTGTCTTCATACTCAGTGTCAGTGGGTCAGAGTTATTTTCTGAGATGAGGAAGTGATGCTATTATCCGCTCTCTATTATTTTCTGTGAAGAAGACACATCTGGAGGTCATATAGTGGCAGAGATATCCTGGTGATTTTTAATTTGATAGTAGAGATCAGGTTGATCCTCTCAGATACAGGGCCCCACTCACTGAATGAATCCCCTGGGCAGAATAACAGACAGGGAATGTTATAGACCCTAAGTGAGTAGGGAAAAGGCTCAAAGCATGATTGTGTTTCCTCGTGCAGCTTAACTTCTTGGTCCCCTGGTATGTCCCTTGTAACAGAAGACACAACAGGAATGAAGCAGCTTTTTGGAAATAGTGAAGACATTTTGCCTCTATATACCTTGAGTTAGTGAGCCCTTTGTAACAGAAAAAGGTGTGTGCGTGGTAAACTGTGTATGTGCAATTAAAAATGTATCAGTTAACTCAATCACCAAAGATATTGCCACTCATAGTCTAGAATTGTAGGCTATTGTATCCAGCATTAGTGTATTGAGAGTTTGATGGGTCGTTTTTGAGAATTAGCCCTCAGTGAACGTTACTAGGCACGTCCAGTATCATTGACATTCACATTAGCCAAGCTCCATGCTTCATTTGAAAAGTCAAAATGTCCGAATTGTCACTGTTGTTCTTCCTATAGTATATTCATCCAGCATGAAAATGTACACACATTGGCCTTTCCACTGGCATTGTTATTCTAACACTCACAATCCCAACATGAGTCCCAAATGGCCCCCTATTCCCTATATAGTGCACTACTTTTGACCAGAGCCTTATGGGCCTTGGTCAAAAGTAGTCGACTATATAGGGAATAGGGGGCCATTTGGGACGGAACCCCAGTCTCCTGAGGTTCAACACAATTAATTCCACTCTATTTACTTTCTCGGCAGCTGAGCAAATAGCCTTTTTCGAAGCCGAACGTGAAACTAAAACTACAAATACATCTCCAAAACTAGGCCAATGTGTGCTGCTTACTTGCTAAGCACACACTACAGAGCTAATCTTTGTCATTTGTAAGCACAAACTAGCTCATAATTTGAGGAAGTCATTAGCTGATACTAGACACAGATGCTAAAAAAGCTATTAGTGTTAAATGTCACCCGTGGCGTTAGCTTGTGCATCTCGTTTACACGGGTGAGGTCTATTTTTTGACCTTACACGTAACCCTGGATACCAAGACATGTCATTCTCCGTTCCGTGTTCCATCTATTTTCCACCTAATGCCCTTGCTTCCCCTCTGCAGTGAAGAAGAAAACACCCATGATATTAAACCCCTCTCATATTCTTCCAGTTGGATATGAGCCAGTAAGCCATTTTGTGCTAAAAATAGTTTCCCTGATGAAGCACCTGCATGCAGGATCAGGATGCTGCTTCTACTGCTGCCTTGGCAGTTGCTGTCTCCTCCTGTGTTACTCTGCTGTGCATTCTGCCATGCAGCACGTCTGGCCCTCCCTCCCTCCCTACTGGCCCTCCCTCCCTCCCCCCTCAGAAATGCTGCAATGCGTCTCCCATAGCCAAAGACTGGGTCAGTGTAACTCAGCCAGCGGCAACATAGCTAGCTAGCTTAGCATCCCCATGGCAACAGCCAATGGGGTTCGCAGGCTGAAGCTAATGAGGCTTTTGCAATATTGTTGTTGTTTACGTGGCATGGAAGACACTGTATAAACGGGTTTAAGACATTTAGTTGATGCAGGAGAGGAAATAGGATGGCAGAGTGAGAGGACCTTGGAGGGAGAGGAAGCCTGGGTATGGCTCACAGTGTTAGTCTGCAGCTAATTGTGTTTGTGTAACGCTGGAATACAGGATGTTGTATTATCAGTAATCGGTTCCAGCCATGTTTTCATACAGCCCCAGCGTTTTGTTATTTTTGTTAATTGGCTTGTCTAATTTGACCAATCACTGAGCGGTATTCACAGACAGCCCTGTCTGCCGTGATGCCGCTGTAGACTTGCAGTGCACCCTGGTAGTGTCACTGTCAGACCTCTTATAGCAATAATAATAACAATAATCATCATCATCATCATCATCATCATCATAATCATCATAATCACAATAATCACAATCACCACAATAATAATAATAATAATAATAATAATAATAATAATAATAACATTAATGATGGGCCACAATGCTGATTGCATCTACGCTTCCAATAATATTCAAGCACGGTTGCAGAGGATCATTCTTATCCATGTTCTCTGGATTTGCTTTCCAATGGTTCTGTACTGTCATTTGACTAAGTTACTCACTGGAGTACATTTTTCTAGCTATTTTCTTATCATGGAAAACATGAGGTCTCACATGTTAAACTGATGTTCATGTTCCTTAATGGACCCTCGATGCTTAAGGCTTATCACATCACCACATAATACAATGGCTCCATTATAAGTCCAGTCTATTTTCACATGCTGCATTCGTAGCAATATTGTAGTGAACAGCAGGGCAGGGGTGCGAACCCGGGTCGCTGGTGAGAAAGGCAAACACCCTACGCATTGCGCCATTAGGGTTAAGCCACTTGGTGGGAATTGTAACGTGGCTCATATAGCAAGGATCGCTACAATATTTAGTATTTCCACACAGAAATATTGTAGGAACTGTGACTACTGACTGCACTGTTGTTTTAGTTGTTTTGTCATTGTTATCCCTGAGGTTTGTTGTGTTTGTTTCCTCTCCAGGACAGAGGACCCTGCAGTACAAGAGTGATGTCCTTGAGACAGTTGTGTTGGTGAACCCGTCAGAGGAAACTACTGCTTCAGAGGTAGGTGTGACTCAGACATACCTGACAACTGAGGGCTTCTGCCTTCACAGAAATGGTACGGTTGATGTTTCTCAATGGAAACCTTTTTTGAAAAGAAACTGCTTACTGGTAGATTTGATCATGTCAATCAACAGTGTTAATAATCCACTATTGTCCTTTTTTTCTTCTATTTGTCCCTCTTCTCCTCCCGTCCAGATCCGCTCTCTGGTCACTGACTCTGCTGGACACAAGCTACTAGTCCTAAGTGGCCAGAGCTCTGAGCAGGGAGGTGACATCACACTGCAGGGTGGAGCCTTCACCTGGAGACACTTATCTGACATCATCTCTGATCCTGGAGTAAGATCAACTGTTCATCAACACTTTACTATAAGTTGACGTTACACTGTGTAGTTACTCTGTTATTATGTTGGTAGTATTCAGACTGGAATCTCTCAATCAATATTTGTGATTCTTTCATTTAGGGAGGGGTTGATTCATTTAAATATGTTCTTGTTATATGCTCAAATCAAATATTGTTTTGATGAATATGTATACTTGCTATTAAAATATTTTTCTTTTCTTAAGCTATGCCTAACAGTGTCTTTATGTTGTGTTGTGGTTCCACCTCCAGGTGACTGAGGTCCTGTCCAACTCAGCACCGGACCAGCGGCCCAGGCTAACAGTATCGTGCCTGGGAGACGGGGGCTGGAGCTCACTGGGCCACAGCCAGGAGCAGCAGCACTTCCAGAACCTTCTGGAATACCGCCTGAACCCTGAGCCTGCGCTTCCCGACATGGAGGGAGTCGCGGAGTTCACAGAGTACGTCTCGGAGACGGTGGACGTCCCGTCGCCCTTTGACAACCTGGAGCCGCCCACATCGGGCGGTTTCCTGAAGCTGTCCAAGCCCTGCTGCTACATCTTCCCCGGAGGGAGGGGCGACTCTGCCCTGTTTGCCGTGAACGGATTCAACATCCTGGTGGATGGAGGGTCCGAACGCAGATCCTGTTTCTGGAAGCTGGTCAGGCACTTGGACAGAATAGACTCAGTCCTGCTGACCCACATTGGGGCGGACAACCTCCCAGGCATCAACGGGCTGCTCCAGAGGAAGATTGCTGAACAGGAGGAGGAGCAGTCCCAGGGATCTGGTGGCTCCAACACCTACGGCGACTGGATGAAGAACCTGATCTCGCCCGAGCTCGGTGTGGTGTTCTTCAACGTCCCCGAGAAGCTACGAATGCCTGAGTCCACGCTAAAGGTCAAACGGAGCATTGAGGAGGCATCCCTCACACTGCAGTATCTCAACAAGCTTGGCATCAAGTCAGAACCCCTTTACAGGGTCGTTAGCAACACCATTGAGCCCATCACGCTTTTCCACAAGCTGGGCGTTGGCAAGCTAGACATGTACATTCTGAACCCTGTGAAGGAGAGCAAGGAGATGCAGTTCCTTATGCAGAAGTGGGCTGGGAACAGTAAGGCCAAGACTGGGATTGTGATGTCCAATGGCAAAGAAGGAGAAATATCAGTCCCTTACTTGACCTCAGTAACAGCTCTTATCGTGTGGATCCCGCATAGTCCAACAGAGAAGATAGTCAGGGTGCTGTTCCCTGGAAATGCACCGCAGAACAAAATATTGGAGGGGCTTGAAAAGCTGAAGCACCTGGACTTCCTGCGCTACCCAGTGGCCACTCAGAAAGACATATCATCTGGGGCCCCGCCTCCAGTCATAAAACAAACAAAGATGAGATCAAGAACAGAAAGCAAGGAGAGCCTGAAATCTTCCACCAAAACACAGTTGGCCTCAAAAGCCAGCAAGAAAGAAGCCAAAGGGCAGGAAGAGGAGTCCAAGAGTGACTCGGCTAAAGAGAACAAAATTGAAAAGAAAGAGGAGAAGAAGGAGAAGAAGGTGAAGAGTGAGAGCGCCAAAGCTACCAAAGCCACCAAAGCCACCAAACAACAGCAAAACAGCGACGCAGCACCCGAAGCAGCCAAACTGGAGAAAAAGAAGCTGTCCAAGGAGAAAACACTGAGGAAACACTCCAAGGAACGACCATCCAAGATGGAGGAAAAAAAGGACAAAGAGAAGAAAGAGATCAGTAAAGTAAAGAAAGAGGACAACAAACGTGAAGTAAAGAAAGATGATGCTACTAAAAAAGAGGAGAAAAAAGAAACAAAAGCAGTGAAGGAGGAGAAAAAGAAGGATCTGAGTAAACCAGAGCTGAGGAAGATCACCAAACCAGACCTGAAACCCTTTACACCAGAAGTCAGGAAAACCCTCCATAAGGCCAACAAGACACAGGCCAAACCCAAGACGGACAAGACAGACAAGACTGACAAAAACATAACAGCAAAACCGGTCAAAGAGAAAACAGCTGAGAAAAAGTCTGTCCCAAAGAAAGCCCCCCAAAACGCAGCTGCTGCTTTGGCAGGCGGGTCCGTTGTATCCTCTCCAGAAGACCTCACCAAGGACTTTGAAGCTTTAAAACGAGACGAGCTCTCGAAGCTAGTGAGTGAACCCATTCAGAATGATGTCATGTCTGGACGTCCAGCTTTCACAGACTCCAAACTCCCTGATGAGGGGATAACAACTAAATCCCCAGCCAAACTTGGAGAGAAGTTTGAGAATGAGGGTGCCGACATGGATGATGATGATGATGATGACGATGATGAGGAGGAGTACAACAAAGAGAGTGATGTACTAAAGAAAGGTGCAGATGTCGGGAAATGGCAGGACGTTAAAAGAAACGCTGGCGTGGATAGGAAATATGAGGAGGAAATGGAGCAATACGACGAATACTCTACTAAGGGAGACATGAATTCAAAGAAGAGCGTCAGCTCAGAAGAGGAGGGTGACGTTATCGAAAAAGCAGATCTGGAGGGAACTGAGGATGATGAGGATAAATACAACACAGAAAAAGATCAAAAAGAATGGGACACCAAGTCAACCGACTTTAAATCGTTTTCAACTGCAGTCGCCTCTGGACAAACCACTACCGCTGCCTCTGAGCAAGTGTCCTTCATCCAAGATGAGACTATTCCCGGTTATTCCGAAACGGAGCAGACCATCTCCGATGAGGAGATCCATGAAGAACCCGAGGACAGGATCCCACACCTCCGCTACGACGTCGCTTCCTGCGACATCTCCGTTCCCGACATTCCGGGATCCTTTGACTCTGTGCATGGTGTTAGGGAGATGAGAGCCTCGGCTACGTCCGACGCCTCAGACTTCAAAGGCAAAGGCTTCGTGGGAAGACATGACCAAGTGTTGGCAGCCTATCCGAGCATCATCGCAGCTCCGCTCGCCGAGGAAGAGCACATCTCCTCAGCCACGTCCATCACAGAGTATGACAAACTGTCGTCGTTCGCCACCTCCATGGCGGACGACCAGTCCATCGCATCGGTGACCGCCCCACAGACAGAGACAGAGACAGGGAGGAGCTCTCTTCGCCTGGACACGATCAACAGCATCCCCTCCCGCACTGAGGCCACCCAGGGGAAGGACTACCTCCACTCGGCTGGAACCATCTCTCCCACCTCCTCTCTGGACGAAGACAAGAACTTCAATTCTCCTCCTTCGAAGGAGTACCAGTCTTTTGTTCCCGAGATGGAGGCTGGGAGAAAGACCAAACCCGTCCATGAGGAGTATGATGAAGAGGAGGATGAAGACGAGGACCAGACTCCCAACGTTGATATCCCCTTGGGGAAACTCCAAGAGGGCTACGAGCAGGCAGCGGCAGCCATGTTACTCCAGGACAAGGATAAATCGCCCTCCACTGCCTTTGCGCCTCCTTCTCCTCCCTCTTTCTCCAGTGGGTTTAAGCTTAGCTCCATGTTTGAGGGTGAAGAGAGATGTCTTAGCCCAGACGACAGCACCGTGAAGCTGGCCTCACCCACCCAGTCGGTCCCCACCAGCAGTGGCTACTCCCCCACAGAGGAGAAGAAAGAAGATAAAATGGACAAAACTAAAACTGAGCTCCAGCAAATGAGGCTCTCTGTTGACAAGACCCCCTTTGAAAAATCAGATGAGGAGGAGGATGAAGATGATGACTATTATGAGAAAAGGGATCTCAAACCCTGTGTTAAAGCTAAGTATTTGGAACAGAAGGAGGGTAGGTTCTTGGACGATGAATCACCTCAGGAAGAGAAGCTGTCTGAGAGGGACAAAGGACTTGCAGAGGATGACATCAAGTCCAAGTATCTGCAGAAGAAACCGGGGTCGACAGACGAGACACAGTTCTCTGGTTACATGGAGCAAACAGCCAAACCCCAGGTCATGCACTCAGACGAGCAAGACGAGGAGGAGGAAGATGAGGAAGATGATGATGTTGTTCACCCAAGTGGAACAGGGTCTAGAGCTTTATCAGTAGAGCAAAGTAAGTTGTACTCTGAAGATGACAAAAAGGATGCAGCAATATCCAGCAAAAAGGACCATGTAACTTTGAAAGAGCCAGAGAAAAGTGTCCAGTTTAATCTGTATGATTTCCCGGAGCGAGAGAGTAAAGAGAAACGCTCAGAAGAAGAGATAAGACAGGACACCCCGTACGTACACGGCAAGACTTTCTCTTACAGTGATATCTATGACAACAAAACAAGCTCAGCAGACTCATATTCAAATGGATCCAGTTATCAGAAACTGGACCAGTCAGAAAAGATGGGGAAGGACAGTATGAAGGAAATGGACACACAGAAAAAGGACTCTGCTTTCCCCTCAGACAAGGAGGGGTTCACTAGCTCTCATGGAAAAGATGTATCTTCCCCTTCCCCCTTTCCATGGATCCATGGCTCTGAATCCACAGAGAAGATAAGTGAGCCATGTGGATACAGCAGAGAGAGCAGATTCCCATCCATGGCTGATAGACCAGAGGCTTCAACCACATCCTTATCATCAGAGAGAGACTCCTTCTCTTATAAAGGTCACAGTGATTACACCTCTGTAACAGGTAGTGCTGCAGCCAAACCCTCTTCAATGAGCTACCATGACAAAGAGGTGGAACTGGAGATAGACATGAGGAAGTTAACAGCCAGGGACGAGGAAGACTACGATGATTATGATGATGAAGATGATGAAGAAGAGGATGAGGACGATGACGAGGACGATGCCAGTGACTCAGACATGGAGAAAGGTGCCAAAGAGAAATCGGAAAAGGTAGTCAAATGTCCTTTCATCCACGGTGTGAGCTCAAAACAGCCCCAGTTTATGGTTTCCATGGCTGGCTACGGTTACAACTGCCAGGCAAAGCCGCCTACGCCAGAGGGTGTGAGCTCAAACGAGCCAGAGTTGATAGTTTCCATGGCTAGCTATGGTTATAACGGCCAGACAAAGCTGACTTCACTAGACGGTGTGAGCTCGAAAGAGCCAGAGTTGATAGCTTCCATGGCTGGCTATGGTTACAACAGCCAGGCAAAGCTGACTTCACCAGACGGTGTGAGCTCGAAAGAGCCAGAGTTGATGGTTTCCATGGCCGGCTATGGTTACAACAGTCAGGCAAAGCTGACTTCACCAGACGGCGTGAGCTCGAAAGAGCCAGAGTTGATGGTTTCCATGGCCGGCTATGGTTACCAACAGTCAGGCAAAGCTGACTTCACCAGACGGCGTGAGCTCGAAAGAGCCAGAGTTTATGGTTTCCATGGCCGGCTATGGTTACAGCAGCCAGGCAAAGCTGACTTCACCAGACAGCGTGAGCTCAAAAGAGCCAGATTTCACAGACTCCAAACTCCCTGATGAGGGGATAACAACTAAATCCCCAGCCAAACTTGGAGAGAAGTTTGAGGACGAGGGTGCCGACATGGATGATGATGATGATGATGACGATGATGAGGAGGAGTACAACAAAGAGAGGAATGTACTAAAGAAAGGTGCAGATGGTTACAACAGTCAGGCAAAGCCAACTTCTCCAGACAGCATGAGCTCGAAAGAGCCAGAGTTTATGCTTTCCATGGCGGGCTACGGTTACAACAGCCAGGCAAAGCCGACTACGCCAGCTTCTTCCACCACCAGCAAAGGTGACATGGGCACCACAGCGTTGTCTGGGTACTCCTCTGGGTTTGATAATTCTTACGGTGGGGAGAAAGACTCATTCCAGTCCAGCCAGATGAAGGACAAAGAGGGAAAAGACGACTATTTCCACAGCGAGAGAGCTGACGGTGGTAAGAAAGCAGGAGACACAGTAGGAGTCTCATCAGGCTTCCACTACACCACTACCTCCGCCACGGCATACTCCTCCTCCTCTTCCTACAGCTACTCCTCCTCTACGTCCGGTCCGTCACTCTCCACCAGCCGGCAGTTTGGCGAGGAGCTGGAGACCCCAGCCAACGCCTCCGACCACATCTTCAAACATGATGCAGACAGTGCTGGCTTCGAGTACTCCTCCTTTAAAGATGAACATGCCTCCTTTAAAGATGAACACGCCTCCTTTAAAGACGAACACGCCTCCTTTAAAGATGAACATGCCTCCTTTAAAGATGAACATGCCTCCTTTAAAGATGAACATACCTCCTTTAAAGACGAACACGCCTCATTTAAAGACGAACACACCTCCTTTAAAGACAAACACTCCCTGGCCAAGGACTCCTCCCCCTTTCCCAGCTCCAGCGGGATGGTGAAGGACGAGTACCTTGAGGTTTCGGAGAAGCAGATGATGACGGCCACCACCGCCACCGCTGAATCCACCTCCAGTCTGGCCCGCTTCTCTCCTCCCAGCCCCTTCGATGAGATCAAACCTTTCCACTCGCACTCCTCCTCGGAAGACAAAAAGGAGCATGTTGCCTCGATGGAAGGAAGCGTTGTGGACAAAAGCCCCCAGTCGGACTGCTTCTATAAACCGGGATGGGCAGATGAGTCCAAGCTGCAGGCTGCAGGGGGTTATGGGCCTTTCTCCCAGTCACCCAAGGAGAAGGATGCCATCACCACAGGTTTGTTTGGTGTCACCTCGTCCCCACGGCCCGACTCAACAGGCAAGCATTACTTTGAAAACTCTGACAGTAGTGAGGAAGAGGACGATGAGGAAGGTTACATGCGTGAGATGGGCCTGTCCTTCTCCGAAAAACACGGCAGCAGCACTACCACCTCCAGTAAGATAGATGGCGCTGGTCTCCCTGATGTGCTCACCTCATACATGCCCTCCTCCCTGCTGCCCACCAAGCCAGACACAGTCAACGGTCCCACGGAGGTCAGCAGCATGAGCTCCCCCATCAGTGCAGGGGCATCAGCCAGCAGTGTGAGCCCAGGTCTGGGTACAGCTGAGGACAAAAAGGTGAGGAGCTCATATGAGTGGGACATGCAGAAGCCTCAGATGGACATGGTTCCCGGCGACTCCCCACCTCATTACCGCCACGAGGAAGAGTTTGAGGAGGAGTGCGAAATGGAACCAGAGTGTCCTGCCCGCCCGCTCTCCCTCTCCTCCACTGATCACACCTTCCGCTCCCCCTTCTACGCAGAGGCGTCGAGCCGAGGAGGAGCAGGAGGACGAGATGATGACGACGACAGTGACCCGGACCTCCCTCCTGACATGTGCATGGGCGCCTCCTCCTCCTACACCTCCTCCTCCAAAGCCTCCCCTGGCTACTCCTCCTCGGAGCACAGGCAGCGCAAAGGAGACCTCTCGCCCTCCTTCATCAATCCCAGTATGCAACAGCAGTCCAGCGACGAGGAGGACGAGGAGCGGGGATGCAGGAGCGACCAATCGCAGGAAGGGGACCAGCACGACCTGTCAGTCAAGAAGAGGGCCAACAAACAGCCCCACCACCCCCACTCCCAGGGCGGCTTGATCCCCCACCCCGGGGCGGCTGGGCTGGGGTTGGCCAGAGAAGAAACCCCCCCAACCTCCGTCAGCGAGTCTATACCGTCGCAGTCAGATTCAGACATGCCCCCAGGGACAAAGGAGTGCCACAGCAACATGGACTCGGACGAGGACACTGAGTACCTGCCTGTGGATAAGTTCTCCTCCATGGGAGGGGGCCACCATCACTCCTCTTCCTCCTCCTCCTCCAGGATGAGCCCCCGTGATCCCCCTCCCGCCCCCCTTATGGACCCCTTCCCCAACCCCCCTCACCCCGACGTCTGCATGGTGGACCCGGACGCTCTGGCTAATGACCAGAACCGGGCAACCTCCGAGTCGCCCCTCAAGAAGGACCCCAAGACGAAAGGCGTGCGGAAGACAGGGAAACCCAAGTCGGCGTCTCCAGCTCGCCGTAAGCGGTCCCCCATGCCAGTGAAGCAGTTGCCGTCCCCTCGCAGCGCCTCGCTGAAGAAGAAGGAGACAGAGAAGAGCTTGAGGATGTCCCATCTGTCGGACGGACAGGGCTCCAGAGACGATGACCTCTCCAGGTCCAGCTACAACGCCGGCAAGGTGGCCAACGGAGTTAAGAGCACCTCAGGTAACAAGGGTCCCCATTATACAGTATATTTATTCAACAATCGTATTGTTATGTTATGCATAATATGACTAGTAGTATACAGTACAGTACATTACACATTGCACAACATAGCACAAACAGATCTGGGACCAGGCTAAGTCAAGGCTGCTAGGCTGTGGAAAGTGATTGAGAAAAGGAAGGAGGAAAGGAGCAGTTGGAGCAGAGTTTAAACCAGCAACCTTGTGGAAAGCATCAACTCATATGGAAACGTCTAAGCACTGACTCCTTGTCCCCTAGGCTCTCAGAGGTCCAGTTCCGTGGTTCCCCAAGGCCCTCCTATATACGTAGACTTGGCCTACATCCCCAACCACTGCAGTGCTAAGAACGTGGACCAGGAGTTCTTCAAGCGCGTCCGCTCTGCATACTACGTGGTGAGCGGGAACGATGTGGGCAATGATGAGCCCAGCCGAGGGGTCCTGGACGCTCTACTGGAGGGCAAGGCCCAGTGGGGATCCAACCTACAGGTAACAAATCACTACCATAGAATTAGATGGAGCTCAATCTTTCAGTTGATGGATCAATACATCACCTGTACATGACATTCATTCCCTATGCATCTTAACTAACTAACTAACTAACTAACTAACTAACTAGCACACCTGACTACCTGTGGCACTCAACTCAAACAGCAGAGTGTAGCCTACTGTAGCTCCTGGCAAAGTAATTCAAAGCCTCTACTTTATCACTCAGGATGGAACTTTCCAGTGCTACTATGTTAAAAAAAGAGGGGGATCCCAGCTTTCCATTGTTGCCATGTTTATTTCCCTAATCCTACAATTGCCCGCGTGGCATCATTTTAGAAATGCAGTTACAACCGGAGTTTCAAGCATGGTGTTGGCACAGCTGTGCAACAGAGCTCTTAAAGGGGCAATGGCATACTTTGTAATAGAAACCCCCCAAAACAATATTTTTTCGATTGAATAATAATTAATAATTGTAAATAATAATAATAAATAATAATAATAACAATCAGGATGTTGTGTCCAACGGGGTAAATACAGATGGACAAACCCCATGCTTCAGCCTATGTATGTATTTATAGACTTTATGCTGCATCAGTTGGGCTACAGGTGATAATGCTTATTGCTAATAGCACATCTGATAATATAGACCAGGGACGGGCTCTTTTATAGGCCTGCGGATCAAGGGGACTGGAATTGGTCAAACTCGCAGTTTAATACATGTACAAAATTATCCTCTTTCCATAAAAGCATGATGGTCATGACTTTTTACATGAAAGGGGAAATGAACTTGGCCACAGACAATCAATCTGAGATCGACTTAAGTTTCAGTCATGGGATTTCTTGTTTGCTTTAACTGATTAAATCACTCCATCTTTCGCCTTCTCTCCTTTCATCTCTCCCTTCTCTCTCTTTTGTTCTCCTCTTCTTCTTCTCCTCTGCTTTGCCTACTTTCTTCCTCCTATCTCTATCCATTACCTCAATCTCTCTGCCCCCCTCTCTCTTTCTCGCTCTCCTGCAGGTGACGTTGATTCCCACCCATGACACAGATGTGACTCGGGAGTGGTACCAGCAGACCCATGAACGACAGCAGGAGCTAAACATCATGGTCCTGGCCTCCAGCAGCACCGTGGTCATGCAGGATGAGTCTTTCCCCGCCTGCAAGATCGAATTTTAAGCCCCATCCCCCCTCTCTTCCCCTCTGTAATGGGACAACACGAAGCTCCCCTGGTTTAGTCTCTGTCTGTTTAAATATTTTTTATCTGCCTTTTCTAGGGATTCATTTCTTACGGTAAATCATAACAGTACATCTCAAGTTACACCCTATTGGTCTTATAGCTAACATGGAGCTCTGGTCTAAAGTAGTACACTGGACTGTACGAGGAGTAGGGTGTCATTTTAGACACAGAGATATTCAACAACCACGCGTTTGATTATGGTTATTGTCATTGTTTGTATTATAAAGGTGCTCTTCAGACTATAATGCCCCTCTACTATAATTATAAGGTTTATTAAAGGAAACGAGTACAGTTGTGCATACGGTAGAAAGCCAGGCAAAATGTCCAGGCAATGGTTTCTTCAAGTTAAGACAGATTTTCTTCTAATAGGGCATAATTCAAAGCACAAGTATGCCCTATTATAATGTTACAGAGTCATCAACAACAAAAACAACAACAACAACAGACATAATATTTGTTTTAAGAAGTTATAACACCAAAACACATTTTGTACTTATGTTTTGTAGAACTGAATACACCATGCTAATGACAATGGAACTTTTCTCATCCACGTGCCACTCATTGAACTTTGTGCCTAATATTGACACATTGACATAGATGATATTCTAAGTAGATTGTCTCTAAGAGTCTTTTAGATGTTGAAGAATTATGTTTGTAGTAGAATAGGGTGGAAAAAACAAATCGAGTCATACTCAAAGGTTGTGTGTGTGTCATTCAATTTCCATGTATTTTTTGCAAGGTGAAATTCGCTTTCAATGGATTTCTCAAGAGCCATATTGCATACAGTAAATCGTATATACAATATACAATATGCACAGTAAATTACCCTTGCATTAAATAATCAAATCTTGCATTCACAAACAGATCTTGGACCAGGCTAATGTATGATATTGTGTGAAAGGAAAGGAGAATACTCCCGTTGCAACATCTTGATGACTGTATGTCAGGTTGCAATGTCGCTACATTCAATGTACTACTTCCTCGTCATAACATTTATACGAATTTATAAACTGGGTCGTTCGAGCCCTGAATGCTGACTGACTGACAGCCGTGGTATATCAGACCGTATACCACAGGTATGACAATATATTTATTTTTACTGCTCTAATTACATTGGTAACCAGTTTATAATAGCAATAAAGCACCTCAGGGGTTTGTGGTATATGGCCAATATATCACGGCTAAGGGCTGTATCCAGGCACTCCGCGTTGCGTGGTGCTTAAGAACAGCCCTTAGCCGTGGTATATTGGCCATATACCACACCCCCTCAGGCCTTATTGCTTAAGCATAACATACTGTAAGCATTACACACTTGCTTGGAATAGTGCTGTTTGTTAAATGACAAATAGCTTAAGCAGCTTGTTTGTGTACATGTGTACATGAACTCATTGATAGAAAGGAGGCTGTCAGGTTAAAAGATGTTACGCAACTTAAAGACAACAACCCTCCACTATTATAGCTACAGACCTACACTGTCTGTCTGTGAACTGGAGTAGGTCCACACTTTGGGAAGGTATCACAGATCATATTATTATTATCACATTTAATATTGACCCTTTAAGAGACATGGGCGTGATTTGGGATTTGTGTAAGGTGAAGATAGTGTAGACTAGTGATATGTACTCCAGCTATGACCATCATGGTAGCGTCCCAAATGGTCAAAAGCTCTGGTCAAAAGTAGTGCACTACATAGGGAATAGGTTGCCATCTGGGACAGTACATACCTAACCTGGTTATGACTACAGCAATATGACCATGTGGTTGTGAGCTCATGGCCCATCACCTTTACAGGGTAATAGGTGATTGAGTGTCTGAAGACTTGTCTGTGAGGTGTGTGTGCGCTGTGCATTAAGACTACGTTGATGAAAGGTTGATGAAAGGTTGATGAAACATTGATGAACATTGTGGGGTGGTTCCATAGATGATAGAGGTTCGACTGTCACCCGCATGTGCCTTTCTGTCCTGTTGTGTGTTCAAGCAAGACTCAGAAGCTTGCTTGAAATGGCCCTTGTGGCAGAGCCATAGATATTCAGTGTTCAGCAAACTCAGTTTCAGTCTCAGAATTTGAACGGGCGCCATGTTGGCACTGAAAGCTCCAAGACAATTACATTCTAGTTGGAATGCAGATGAGAATATTCTCATATTCTTGTTGGAATGCAGATTACAATATTGTCATCATGGCATGTTTGGTGCAAACATGGAGGATAGTTTACCATGGTAAAGTAGTGGCTAAGTGGGCAGGTCTCCACTGTGGTTGTGAGTGTTGTAGTATGATCACTAAACTAAAAGCAAAGGTCCAAAAATATGATTTACCCACTAAGCAAACTGACATGGTACTTTTACCAGTCAATTCAGTATTTAAATCACAGGGTCTGATATTCTCTGTCGGTGATAGTGAACAAGAAGCACAAATAGTCAAACAACTTAACAAGAACCAACCGTGGTCAAACCCTTACTCAAAGAACTTGTAGGCCTACTCATATGAAAATACTCTAACTTGTGATTACTACCAATTGTGTTTATGTTCTTTAACACAAAAGTAGTGGTTTTTAATGAGAAAAAGAAAGAGAATGCTTTGTTGGAAATGTTAATGCACAGACAGACATGATGTGTTATTTCCTATTGAGTTGTATTATTTTCATAATCCTTATGATGCCCATGGAAAGGGAAAGAGGTGTTTTGAGGTCCTCTAGGGCCATTTTAGAACCATTTAGTTTTGGGACCAGAGGCCAAAAGGTTTTAGCTCTACCACAATCACCTTGGAATGTACAAAAAAAAAAAAAAAGTACAATTTGCTTTTGATTTTATGTGATCATAGTCGGTGTATCTAGAATGTAATTTTCAGTGTTATTTAAGATGGTTTTTCATTTGTGTGCACAGTTTGTAATTTTATGCTTTAATATTACTATTAGTTAGGACTAACTTTGTTAGAAAATGAGACAAAAATACATGTTTTCATTCCATTTTTAATTCCATGTTGTTGCATCATGACGTTGAGTTTTTGAGGCTTACAGAGAACAAATTGTAAGACCAACACGTCTTGTTCGGGGGTCTAGACAAATTGTACCATTGTGCAACCTTTGAGGCAAATCAGAATATTCAGCCGTGTATTCCAGTTTTTCTGAGACACATATGGCACAAGCATATAAATCATAGCATAGAGACAAAGAAAAGATCATTCATTGGCTAACGCTTCCAGTAAACATGCTTTGAATGCCGCAATGTCTTTTTCTTTCCATTGCCGATGCTCATTGCACAAATATACCGGACCATGCAGATTATCAGAGAGAGCATTTCTGAGATAGCCTGGTTAACAGACTGAGAGCAATTCTGAGATAGCCCGGTTAACAGACTGAGAGAAGTTCTGAGATAGCCCGGTTAACAGACTGAGAGAAGTTCTGAGATAGCCTGGTTAACAGACTGAGAGAAGTTCTGAGATAGCCTGGTTAACAGACTGAGAGAAGTTCTGAGATAGCCTGGTTAACAGACTGAGAGAAGTTCTGAGATAGCCCGGTTAACAGACTGAGAGAAGTTCTGAGATAGCCTGGTTAACAGACTGAGAGAAGTTCTGAGATAGCCCGGTTAACAGACTGAGAGAAGTTCTGAGATAGCCCGGTTAACAGACTGAGAGAAGTTCTGAGATAGCCCGGTTAACAGACTGAGAGAAGTTCTGAGATAGCCTGGTTAACAGACTGAGAGAAGTTCTGAGATAGCCCGGTTAACAGACTGAGAGAAGTTCTGAGATAGCCCGGTTAACAGACTGAGAGAAGTTCTGAGATAGCCTGGTTAACAGACTGAGAGAAGTTCTGAGATAGCCCGGTTAACAGACTGAGAGAAGTTCTGAGATAGCCTGGTTAACAGACAGAGAAGTTCTGAGATAACAATACTGAGAGCAGCGTTCAGTCTGGTTTAACCAGGCTAGTTCCAAGCGTGTTCCAGCTGATCCGAATGTGAAGAAGCAGATTAACCTTTACGTTCTCCGTGGAGGACATTGATATCTTGGTTGCCTTGGTGACATACTAGTTAGTAGTTGTATATGTTTTCTGCTCCATCAACTCAAAAGGGTTGTCAGTCAAAGTCAGACTGTCTCCTCTGTTGTGTGTGAATACAGTGCATATCAAACTTATTTTTAGGGCAGAAAGTCTGTTATTTTATTTCTTTACTCTAGTCTTAAGTCTGTCTATTTCTAATGGTTGCCCTGAGAAACGAGAGCAATTAATTAGTCAACAATTGATTAAATAAAAAGTTCTTCATTTTCAGAGACTGATTTTCGACCGTACAGGTAATTGCCTTTGCAAAGCTGTCTGTAAGACAAACTAACACGCCTGCTATATTGTATAGCTGAGAGAACATTCTGTATAACAAATATTGGATAATTTTACAGTGCTTGCAACGGGCTTTCACTTAGAGAATGGGATTCAGAACAACAGTATCCCTTTATATCTCAGCAACTCCATGAGAAGATGTTCAATCTTCTTGTGCTGCAATTTAACCAGTTTTCCTGTGGTCTTTGACTTCAAGGTTGTCTAAACCAAGACTTCAACTGTTAACTCATGTCAGCGTCATTCTAAAGGCTAGAATTAACATTGTATTCATAGGCATACACAAACCACATCACACACACAAACCTGACTGCCAGATAGTGACTCGGATCACTATATCAATACATTTTATATCTAGGGTATTTATAATGGTTCACACAGTGAATTTTTCCAAATAAAAAAACAAACAGAATAAAAACAGTAACAGTATCAATGTATTGTGCAAAAAAATAAATAATGGTTCAGTTGCATTCTCCAAAACTCTTCAGAATCCTGATGTAGAAAAATCATCATGAAGATTGTCCATCATTCCAATAAACCCTGCTTGTCTGTGCATGCTACCTTATTAGTTCTAATCCTGTAGGTAATAGTTTAAAAATGAATTAAATAGAAATGCT